GGGGGGGGGGGGGGGGGTGAAAAAATAAATACAAGAACCGAATGTAATGATTGTGTTCTTCCACTATCTGTATCAGTTGACTCATGCAGATGCTGTAAACAACGTGACATTTAGTTTAAAGAGGAAACAAGTAGCCCGAGGGGAAGCCAGGCATCAGACAGAAATAAAATGTGAATGGCAGAGCATTTTGTGTGCTGTAGAAGCTGAACAGGGCTTGTTGAAATGTTTTTGTATTCCTGAAATTGAGGCATTGTGTGGACTCAATGGGTGGTTCTTGCTCTTTTTACGTCTGTGTGGGCACACTGCAAAAATCTGTATCACTCTCCTTTGTGAGCGAGTTTAGACTTTATTTCTGAGACTGGTAAAACTGGTGTTGGTGTGTGTACTAGTTGAGTATATTCCTGTGACCCCCCCTTTAATTTCCCCCGTATGTGTTGATGGGATCAGAGACCAGCAGGCCCTCAAAGATTACAGAGAGAGAGAGAGAGAGAGAGAGAGAGAGACATGGAAAGACCGAGACACATGGCCAGAGATACAGAATGTAAAATGTGAGTAAGAGAGGAGGAAGAGGAGGAGGAGGTGGGTTGGTCTGGAAGAGGAAAGGAAGAGGAGCAACCAGGCTTGTGTGCATAACGAACAGGATGAGCTGAAGGGAGAGCAGGGAGAGATGAGAGGCATACAGAAATGCAGCCGTAGAGGAAAGAGAGAGGTTTGTGTGTGTGTGTATGAATCCAAGGGGGGATGGAGAGCAAGCCCGAGACAGGGAGGAGGGGCTAGAGAGAGCACTGGAGGCAGTGGGGGAGAGAGAGAGAGAGAGACTGCCTATTCTGGTTTCACTACTCTACAAGCTCCCATCCCCCTCACATTTTACTCTCCTCTTCAGTCTCCAATCTCCTCAATGGGAGCCAGACATGCACTACCATTGTGTGCCTACTGCCTACCCCCAGTCCCACTCTGCACCATGTTAAACTAGGGCACTGGTATACCCACCATTTTGAGTAATTGGGGCTATTATTTTTGGGAGAGAGATAGGGGGGAAAATGGAGTATTGCCAATTGGAAAGCAGTTCTTTCCTATGATTTTGTTTCACTGCCTTTTACTTCTTGTCTGTCTCTAGTCACAACTTAAAGCATGCTGGTTTTGGGCATTCGGGCCAAGCCTATTTTTTGGTTTCTTCTAAGCTGTCATAATAACCACAACCCTCTGTTGCTGCCCCAACAGCAATGCAGTCCCAGGGCAGCACTTCCTCTCAGCCCTCCTTCGATTCCCTGAGCTCCAGCGACAGCCTCTTGTTCAGCGACTCGGAGCAGGCGGAGGACGACACGGATGTCTTCCTGACCGACGGCTCTTCTTCTGTCATCATCGGTGGCGTGGGCGGGGCCGTGGCCAATAGAGACAGAGGATCGGAGAGTCCCGGGTCCCAGTGGACGTGCGATGGCTTCACCGATAAAGAGGAAGAGGAGGAGGCATACAGGTCGGAGAGCAGCGGCAAGGCCGCTCACATCAACTTGGGCGAGACGGATCCTACGAGCCAGATCCCGAAATCACAGGGAGACCTGCTGTTTGCTCAAAAGGTGAGGGACTGGGCGGAGGGCCCAGAAAAAGAGAGGGATGAGAGAGCAATGTGTGTGCAGAGGAAAGCCCAGCAGACTGATTCAGACAGTGAGGCCTAACTCAAACTCAGTAGTAATTTATCTTCTCTCCCTCTTCCTATGTCAGTGTGCTGAGCTGCAAGGTTTTGTCAGGCCCCTGCTGGAGCTGCTGAATGGCCTGAAGAGGGGCCGATTCGATCGCGGTAAGCAACCTTACATCACTGCTTTCAGTCAAGTGTGTGTGCAGACTGGCATCTAAAGTTGTGAAGCTGAACACAGGTTTATATGATCTGAGTGGTCTCAGTCCACTGTGATACAGTGTTCCCTTTGTGCAGCAGTCTGTATTGACGCAGCCTATTGATGAAGTACAAAGTGCAGCGTGTGTGAAGCGACAGTCTTGTGGCTGACTCATCAGCTCACAATATCACAAAGTGAAAGTGGTGTGAGCGTGTGTGTGTGCTACAGAGATATTGTGGACGTCTACATGTGCACGCTTCTTTCGACTGTGTAGTCTCAAAGTGTGAATGCTGACTGGGTTATTATGTTTTTGACTGGCAGGTTTGAGTACTTTCCAGCAGAGTGTTGCCATGGATCGAATCCAGAGGATTGTAGGGGTTTTGCAGAGACCTAACAGCGGGTAAGATGTCATCCACATTGTCCCACCATCCACCCTGAGCGTTTCTAACTCTCTGTAACTCTCTGTTACTCATTCTCATCTTGCTTCTGCATCCCTAGACATATTAGTTTGATTTTACCATGTAAATGATTATTAAATTGGAGTTATAACCAGAAGGGACCAGTGAGGTAGTCTTCCATTTCTCATCTCCCCTTCCATGTTTTATTGAACAGTCCTTGAGGTAGGTAGAGTTACAGCAGTCACTGGTAGTGCAGTAATACAAGTGCATTGCCATCTGTTCCTCAATTAAATTTTTTATCCATCTTTTGTAGGGAGAAGTACCTGAACACTCTCCTCCAGGTGGAGATGATGCTGAAGCTTTGGTTTCCTCAGATCACCACTCAGCCTGTCTCTGCAGCTTCCAGCGTCGTCACATCGCCCGCTCGATCCCTCCAAGACACTTCTAGCTCCACCCCGCCGCACAAGCACAGGGATCAGTTACATATTCCCGTCAAGGTGAAAACACAGGCATTCACATAAACACAAACAACCCTCCTTTCCCTTCAACATCACCATAAACTAACTTGTATATTAACTTGTAAATTACTCTCCTGCTCATTTTCCAGAAGCGCAGACTCAGCTGGACAAGTACGGACTCCCCAGCGCCCTCCCCTGTGCTTCTCAAGTGCCCTCGTATCAGTGCAGAAGAGAAGAGGGTGAAGCAAGATCACGCTAAAAGGGACAGCCCTCCTCCGTCGTCGACATCTGACGCCGACCAAAATTCGCCAGATGTGGCTGCTAACAGCCAGCTAAATGAGGACACAAAGAGAAAGGACAGTGACAGCGAGAAACTAGGCAAGCCATCGAACTACAAAGCAGGTCAAAGCTCTGAGCCAAGCCTGACGTGGGTTCACATCGCCCCCATCCTGTCCCCACGAAAGGCCTGCCCTTCACATGAGGGCACAACAGTGGGAGGTCACAATGACAACCGGCCTGTCACTGCCGTCCTTCCACCCGGCAGGCGGGGCAGTCCAGCTACACAAGACAGCTCTATCTCTTCTACCACACCCTACAAGCACCCCAAAAATCTGAAGAAGCCAATCCGGTGCCAAAGCCAGCCCGTCGCTGGACAACAGAGTGAGACCATCGAGATCAGTCAGGATCAAAATCAATCTCCTCAGCCTTTGCCCAGGCTGTGCACCACCCCCTTAGAGACCTGATGCATTGAACAAGCAAAGAGCCGGCAGCTCTGCTTCGTTACACCACCAGGCCAAGAGCTGCTGTTAAGAAGGAAAAAAAAGAAGAAGAAGAAGGGAAGAGGCTAAAGGCCTGTAATTATAGATGCATTAAAGAGAGGAAGTGGAGGAAAGAATTGTGGGTGATATATGTTGAAGACAAATGATGGATCACACGCAACCCCTCATCAAGACCACACTTACAACAGTTATTTCAAACAACGGGACATGTGTAAATGAATCAAATCTATCAAGAGTTGATAATCACAATTAAATAATAATCTAAACACCTGCACAAAAGGTGGAGTTGAGGGGCATAGGAAATCATCTGAAGCTCAAAGGCTGATACAGCTGATTGAGTAATGATCAATAAAAGAGATTTGTGAGGATTTTTCGAGGAGCAAGTAATTGTTTCTCTTCAGCATGAAAGCAATCAATATATTGAGAGATGAATGTTTCGGCAGACATACTCCATCTGAAAGGCTGATTTCAATATTGAGAGTGAAAGCTTCCAAGGTTTATTGTGATGAGGTAATTCTAGTTAGGATTCAAACCAGAGTGAGCAACACAGGGTGAGCTGAATTTTATTCTAGTCTCATGGTGGGACACAGGTTTGACCTTACATTCACTTGTAGATAGAATCGAGGCATCCGACTCGAAGAGGAAACGTGACATTGACATCATTGAAAATCATGTAGCTAGTGATGTGACAAATACGGTGTACAGAACGCAGCATTATACTGTACATGTGGTGCGTCATTGGAGATGGTGGGGGAAAAAATGATGTCAACAACTCACGAATGTAATCCAAGAACTGTCCGAGCGCTTGGCTGGCAGATCTGCGGCAGGGCATCGAGAGGAGTGACATCACAGCGATCAGAGGTCACATAACCTCTCCTGCCGTGATCAGATGTCCTCGGTCCTCGATTTGCAAACATTAAAATCCAGGAAGGACCAGCTGGAGGAAGAAAACAAGGACCACTCAAAAGACATATGACTCTCGAGTCCCATAGTTAATTTATTCATGTGTAGATCGGACACTGCATTTTATTTATTGTTTGTATTTATTTATTGGGCAGCTGAATATCGCCCGCTGTGCACTTGCACAGTTTGGCCTACAATTTGTTTGAGGCGATTGGGAAGATGCTGTTGACAGTTTGTTTGTGGTTTTTATTGCTTAAAAAAAACAACGAAGGAAGTGAAATCTTAAGATTGGACTATTGGACTACTGTGCCTTTTACCAAATAGGATGTGTTCAGAAAAGCATTTGGTGCTTTCAGTGCATTCATACTGCGTTTTGATTGTTTGCTTTTATTTCACAAAACCAGTACACATTCAATCATGAAAAGCCTACATGTAGTCATTTTTCTCTCGCTTCAGAAGTTACACACAGCATCAAAACCAACAGTATCATGGACTGTCCATCTCCTGCTTAAAAACCGGCGTCCAGCTCGTAGTAATCTGACATCTACAGTCAATCCAAACTGCCTGTATCTCCAACCTTTACACACACACCAACAGCAGTGGCTACTATTTGTCATGTAGTTTTAAAGTGAAGCCTTCCTTTGGGGCGTTTCTTTTGGTTCTGATCAACAGGGGAACAGACTGAACTGCACTTACAGCTGGTTCTCTTGAAAACTTGAAAGAACAGAGAAAATATAAACGTATGGGAGGAAATATTTATTTGCACCACCCTCTACTGCTGCTATTGTTCTAATTCCAGTTCTGATTTAGATATCTGATAGGAGGCTCGCTCTTTATTTGGAAATCTGCTCACAATATTCTTCTAAATGTAGGATGGGGGGGGGGGGGGGGG